CGTCCTACACGCAAGCCGCCTACTCGCAGGCCGCCTTGGGTCGAAGGCCCCTCTAACTGTTAACGCCGAAGGCCTCACGCCTAACCATGACAGCCGCTTTCGACGCTCATAACTCATTGATGACTGGTCCGTTTCAAGAGATCTTGGTCGCGTTGGAACCAGCTCGTCGAGTTCTTTCCAACGAGATCCGAATCAAGTCAAACCGCTAAGAATTGAAAAAGATATGCCGGTTTTACTGTTTCGCCGAAGGCCTGCAACCGCCGAAGGCGTCCGTCCGCGCATCGGACAAAAGTTGATCTCCCTTCCGCGTAGGCGGAATTCCCGCCGGAGGCGAACTCCTTCCGCTAAAGGCGAACGTCTACGTATCTTCCGATAGTCATAACTCCCTAAGTCCCTTATCCGTTCCAAGCGTTCTTGGGCTTGTTGGAACGAGCATGTCGAGCTCTTTCCAACGAGACCCTAACTAACGCAAACCGTTAAGAATTGAGAAAGTTATGACGGTTTTACTCTTCCGCCGAAGGCGTTCGCCTATCCGCAGGCGTCCGCGTCCTACCCGCTGGCCGCCCGCCTGTGCACAGGCCGCCCGCCTATCCACAGGCCGTCCGCGTCCGTACAAGTTCCAACCCCGAAGGCGCATTTCTAGGGCCGAAGGCGGATTTCCCGCCGACGCCGAAGCGCATGTGCACAGGCAAACGCGTGTGCCTAGGCGAACTTCGCGCCTACGTCAAAACCCTATTTCGCCTGTGCGCAGGCGAACTTCTTTCGTCCGCGCATAGGACAAAACTTTCTTCGCCTGTGCGTAGGCGGAAAGCTGAGTATCTTGCGACTTTCATAACTCCCGGAGTCCTCATCCGTTTGTGGCGTTCTTGGGCTCGTTGGAATCAGCGCGTTGAGCTCTTTCCAACGATACCCTAACCAAGTCGAGGCGTTGCGAATTGAGAAATTTATGAGGGATTTACTCTTCCGCCAAATGCACTTTCCCGCATCGCTGAAGGCATTGACCCGAAGGCGTTGACCCGAAGGCGCATCTTCCGGCGGTTCTTCCGCCGAAGGCGTACCGCCAAAGTCGCTCTACCGCAGAAGGCCCCCCATCATTAACTTCCGACACTCATAACTCAGTGACCTCTCATCCGTTTCACAAGTTCTTGGGCTCGTTAGAACCAACGCGTCGAGCTCTTTCTAACAAGGCCCAAAGCAACTCAAAGCGTTACGAATTGAGAAAGTTATGAGTGATCTACCGCCGAAGATGCTCGAAGCGGATCCTCGAGCATGAACCGCCCGTTTCGTCCCAAGCGTCCCACTGTGGCCTACGCCCAAAACCCCTTGACTGTCCTCGATCCTCTTTTTGCTCTGGTTTCGCGTATCGATTACTATTTACAGCTGCTGCCGCGGTACTTCCTATTCAAAAATGTTTTAGTTCCGACAAAAAACAAAAAGTGGGTTATCACTATTTGCAAAGCAAGTTGATGGCTGCAACTTAACGATATTGAATGGTACTCTTGGACGGTCACTAAGATCAATCAGATAGAGTTGGTGGCAAGAGAGTTTTATCTAAACATGGATCCAAATCTAAAAATAAAAAGTTCATTACTTGTTGAAGTTGTGGCAAGGAAGGTTACATGAAGCGAGATCGCAAATCTAACGCAAAGATTTGTGATTTTCATTAGCAAATGTTACTAATTCTAATTAACAAGGATTTATCTCCACATGAGTTTCTCTATGATGACTATATTGTGATTATTGTACATCATCAAGGTTATTTGATGATTTCTGGATATCTAATAATGCATTTACCTATCACAACTGTTACATTAGCGAGATCTTTAGTTTTTTTACTATTTCAATTGGATCAATTTTCATGGAAAATAATCAATCTTGTGAAATTGAAGATAGTAGATCTCTAAAGATTCACATGTTTAATAGATTTTTTACGTACTTAGACTCATGTTAGATATATACCTAAGAGTAACAAGAACTTGATCTCAATTAAAATGTTGGATAGAAAAGGAATTTTTTGAAGTGCTAATGAAGATTTACTTCAAGTAGAGAGAGATGAATTGACAATTATCAGAGATCACAAGCATCACAATGTGCATAAAAATTTGAATGTGTTTTAAATCATTAACATCGTTGGACAGGTGTGTGCCAATTGTTGCAAAGTAACATGATTACCGTGTGGTATTCATGTTTAGGACAAATGAACGGCATTTATATCAAACTTTCCAACAAAATAAAAGTGATTTTAGCTTTTTTGAGCATTGTATCATGGACAAGCAAAATAGAAAGCTTTTGGTGTTGGAATTTATAATTCCAAAAATTTTCTTCACTATTTACATAGTGATGTGTGAGTATACTCTTTTGTTGCATCAATTTTTGGCATATATTACTATGTATGTTTACCCAAGATTTACATATTCTATTTTCTCACAGAAAAATTAGAGATCATTGCAACGTTTAAGAGTTGGAGAGCCCAAGTGAAAACTCAAAATCAAAAGAAGGATAAGGTATTTGTAGTTGTAAAGACTTGAGTTTCGGTTGGTAATTTTCTCGCTGTAATTTGAGATTCAAGAAAATTCTTACACTCCATCCGCAATTAACTATTGTCAAATCCATTACAGTAGAGTCATTCTGAGTTACCCCAAGCTATAAACCCAAACTCTCAATTTTTGTTTTGGAACTTCAGTCCGTTTGGCAATTCTCATCTGTCGTAGAATGCTACTGGAACTAAAATCTCTGAAAATTAATTCCCAAACGCTAGCGGATATATGACAGCCACAAATAGCTTGTACCTCCAACGTTTCAAAGCTGCTATAGCTGCCTATTGCCTCCGGCACTCGAATTCTTACTTGGTTTCGCCACCTGTGTTTGTGGAGAACGGTTGACGCATAAGGAAGAAAATCTTAAATGTTGCTTGCATTGATATGGGGACATAATCGGGAGGCCAAAAGTGAATCAACAATACAAACTTGGCTTTTCCTACCATTAATCTAATTAATGGAGAGAAGTGTAAATTCCTTTGAATCCTATTATACACCATCTACTCCTTTCCATACCTTTATGACCAAATCTTTAGTAGATCTATATGTCATCAATATTCATTCCAATATTCACTTCATAAAGCACACTTATCTACTTGTGCTACATAAAGAACACTTATCTATCTGTGATGTATTTTGAGTATCTGATATTATATATAGCTATACCACTAGCGTTGATATCTCCTGTTGGGCAGGAAGGTTGATGTGATTATGGATGTTTCTTCAAGTACATTCAATACTCTCAGAGTTGCAGTTAACGGACATTGATTTATCTTGAGAAATATTAAGATAAATTAGATTGTTTGTCAATATTTTATTGAAGAAAATTCTCTTCGACCCTTGGAGAGCGACCAGTGGCACTTTTCAATGATTAGGGTGACTTTCGGATTGATATGTAGATTGGTACTTTGAAGTTTAGAGAGGAGGTTGAATTGAAAATTTGTACATTTGGAGCCGAGAAGTAGTGCCTCAGATTTTTTACTCATGTGCATATGAGAAGTAATTTAGTTCTTTGTTACTCGTTCCTCTTATTCTAATGATGTAATATTCAGGAAGTCTCACTTCCACTTATTTTCTTGCGATCTCAGACTTATTACATATGTAAAAGGTAGGTAAGAGATTGTGAAGTGTACTTGATGTTTGACTTGTTTAATGTAGGTGGGAGGCTGCATATCTAAGAGACACCTTGGTGACAACAAGATGTTACCTCACCAAGAGTTGAATGAAGTGAAGGTAAAAATAATGACATTTTTCAACTAAATTTGCCCTTTCGGCTACCGAATTAAATATTTCGAATGTAAGTTACGATAAAGCATGTTTCAAGTATTTTCTTTCTCTAGGAGCACACTTCTAATGAATTTGGTTACATGACAAGGTAATTATCATCACATATAGCATTATTGGTCATGATACTTCAACCCAAGTTCATGACAATATAGAAAAGTGTTATAACATGGAATAGCTTTTTCTTATCTCAAGTAACACACTCCTAGTAAAAACTCCTCCATGACGTAGTAATAACTACCAAGTATATTGTAATTGATGCTAACCTCTAAAATAATACCTTGACATCTCACGTGGAGAAATCAGTGCAAGTCAGTAGACATTATTTATGCCTATAGACATTGTAGACTAAAACAAAAAAAAATTATTTAAACATCAAGTAACAAGAGACTAAATCACATTTCCATGCAAAATACTCTTGCACCATAAAATGAAATTGAAAAAATAAGATAGTTTAACCAAAAATTATCATAGTGTGTAATCCATACACATGATTCTATCGAAGACATTGCACATCATAGACCTTCAAAGCTAGATCATCCTGCATCATAAACTAAAATATAACAAAATAAGATAATTTAACCAAATATAACTGTGTGTTTTCCATACACATGATTCTCTATAGGACTTTGAATATCATAGAGCTGGTTCAAAGCTAGATCATCTTGCATCATAAACTGAAATAAAGCAAAATAAGATAAATTAATGGAAAATAACGGTGTATTACCATACTCATGATTCTATAGAAGACTTTGTACATCATAGAGCTAGAGCAGAGCTAACCAAAAGGTGTGTCTTGAGTTCTACATTGCACTCAAACTCAATAACATAGTCAATGTTGAGAATCATAGCAACTTATGCCCTTTTGTTTATTTCTACTAGACAAGCCCATGTTCTTAACATGTGACTGCATACCATGTGTAATTTCAAAATAAATGTTGTTGGTATATATGAGTCTCATTGTTACATGACAAAGTAGAGTCTACAAACTGCAACTCAAAGAGCACGAACTACATCAACTCGTACAAACCGCACATTTTACTTGGTTTGACCAAGGTTTAGTAACATCCCTAAGAAAATCAACAATCACGAACTACAGCTACTCCGAAAGTAACTTTGGTTGGACTAAGTATGACTATAATCACGGAGTTTCGAGTACCTCCCCTCCATTTTGTGTACCTACCACCTTAATTGTCCTTGATTAGGAACTCGATTTAGCTCAAACATATATACCAGCGCTCCCTTCTTTCGTTCACTGTAAAATCTACTCACTTTGTACATACCGTCATAGCTGTAGAAGAATTTGGATCGATGGAAGGAATCCTTGTGCTTCCGAATGACTCGGACTGATCGTCCGAGCTCAGCAGAATTCTTCAAAGCAAGATTTCCTCCCACTAGCTTTTGATCTTCTGTAATTTCGGTGCTGCGAACACCGTCAACGCGCCTACCGACGCCTCCCTCACCGCAGTAATGGATGGTGTCTCCCTCGTCGATATCATCTTTTTCTCCAGAGAGCACAACACTAACGGCTATAGATACAAACTCTCCATCAATCATTGCTGGGCTTCGAATAGCGGGCAAATAATCGATTCCTGATTCCAGCCGATGGTGAGCTGCAACCAAATATAACTCCACTCGCGAGTTGAAGCATTGACCGTTTTTGACTCCGGGAATATCTCCATCTATACTTTTCACCCCATTACACAATAACGGTTGAAACAGAATGCAGAAATCCTTTAAAGCAACAGATTCAATTTTTTTCTTCTGTCTGTACTTCTCTCGAAATGTGTCAAATTGATCCAAGAGTTTCTGCACATTCGCATTCTCGGACTGAAAATTATAAGATGGCCCTCGCCGCCTGGACTGCATTCCGTCTCGAGGCTTGTCTTGTGACTTGCTGGCGAACTGCAGCAATGACTTGCCCTTGGAATGACTTCTGCTAAGCAGAAGTTTCTTCCCGTTCTTCGCAGCTCCCACTCTCGTCATGACGAAATCCGTCCTCCAAGAAGAAAAAGTGAGAGATTGTGTCAGCTGTAACAAGCATGAGGTGCTTAAGTACTATGGAATCATGTCACTTCCGAGTCAAGCCCTAAGTGTTCTATGTTGTATTCACATCACGGTTGATGTGGACAATTTCATATATTTTAATTTATATCTCATTTCTATTTGATACTTTTGCTAGCACAGTTGCGTGCATGAGGTAACTTTCAAATTGTGTTAAATTTGATCTATACTAATCCGTGGAATGCATCTGAACTGCAATACAAAAACCAGGGATACTAAATACAGAATAAACTTCAATCTGTATTCACATGTCAATGTCATAATTCTTATTCTGTATTTGAGTACAATTCTCAGCAAAACCATTATTGTAAGTGCAGTACATTTCGACAATGGCTTCTGGTTATCGAATATTGTACAATTTATAATTATAGCTCAGATGAGATATGAAGGAGGCTCTCAGTAACTGACAAACAAACCTCCAATAGTGGGAAATCTTTAAAGACATCTCTAGCTCAAATCTCAACTGTTGCTTTCAATATTCATTATCATCTCTGATGTCAACATGTAATTGATCAGGTTATAACTTTCTGTCCATTCCTCTTATAAGCGTGATCTATTTCTGCAATCTTCACCTGCTGTTCACCTTTTTTAAAAATGGACATATGGAAGTCGCCATCGACCAACGTCTTCGACCAAGTCACCACCATCTGTTTCGTTTTCTTCATGGGTGGATAGGATGCCAACCAGTGGAAACTCCACGGTATTGAAATCCTGATCAATCTGATAATGTTCGTAGCAACAGTCATCTAACCATCCGTACAGTATTTTCTATTATGATCATATGATTACATATTGGATGGATCTTATGTACTTGACCTGCATACAAGTAGGATTCCAATATTAAAGGTCTACATCATGGTAGTGTCAACCCAACGTTTGTGCCCATAATAAAGATTGAACAAATGTTTTTCGAGTTCAGTTTTCAAGAATCTCTCCTAGGTGTGCAGCCTGCGTATGATGTGGATACATATACACTTGGCACTGCAATCTGAAATGACATATGATGGTTCTGGACGTGACCTTTCAGAACGAGATCGATAGATTCCAAAAAAAAAGTCTTCTTTTGTTACGAAACAACTCATCTAGGTAGAAGCACTGAATGATATAAACTCTTTATTTTCGTTACTTTAATAAAAGAGAATGCATATCACTTGGATCTGGATATGTATAACACTGCTGACGGGAGTGAATGCATGTCATCTTCATTTCGGAGCCACTGACTTCCTATTTGCAATTTGCCGTAACTGGCTGTGGGCTCTAGATCTATCATAACTGGGAATTCAAACTCTGCAGGATCTCTCCCGACCTTTTAGGAAAAGTGACATCTGCATTGTCATGGTCGAACACATTCTCGCCGATAACGACTTTGCTCTCTCCTTCTAGTAAAGCTTGGTAGCAAATCTTCAAGATCTTTAAGCACTCCTCGTCGCCATTATTGTGGAAGACCAGCAACACGATTTTGTATGCAATAAGTACTCAAATGAAGCATTAACTCCAAGTCCCTATCATCTCGCACAGAAAATCTATTGAATCACTATAGTCAGATAACATTAGATTAAGTTAATTAGAACTCGAGAATCACCACGCGAACGTTCAACCTACTATTCGATGATACAGATTTTTACTCAGATACAATAATGTATGAAAGACTTGCTCACCTTTAAAAAGATGGTATCAGCAGCAGTTACATTCTCAAAGTAATTGCCACCTAAGTGGTCCACTCTTGAGCATACAAGCCAAGAGTAGAAATAGTGTTAATTTACTATCTTAAAATGATACAAGAAAGAAACAAAATTGGATTGTGGAAGTAAAAGATAGTGCCGCACGAGTAAGAATTTGAATGGCGGCACCTTCAATTCACACGAATGAGAAACCGTTGCGACGACGGGGTACTCGATGCTCACATTTCATTTAATGACATTCTAAAATATTTTTATCGATATTTTAATTAAACGTCGATAAAAATTTTAAACAAAAATGGTATGTAGTAATTTAAGTGATAATGAAAAGTATTATGAAAAGATTTGGAAGAATTATCAATATGAAATATCTACAAAAATGACAATATGAAGATAAGGGCTTTATTTGGGCCCAAACTTTTCCGCTTTTAATATGAAAATTGTGCGCAAATATCTCACCCGAGTCACACACTTCTTTATCACCATGCAAACTTTGTGCATGCTCATATAAGTCATTCTCTATGGAGAAAACAGTTGGTTGAAGTTTAACATCATCTTTTGTCAAAACTCATGTAGCATCACCTCCACCTCAAAGGTATTTCAACTTTGAGTCTCATCAAGATAGCATCACTAGTTGAAACCAATATTTCTTGGGAGTCACACCAATCTTTTCCAATCAGCCATGTGATGTTCAGCTTTGTGGTCTTGGCCGAACCTCTCTACCAATGAATTGCGTACCATACTCAAAAGACTGGGTTGCTCTCCAATAGATAGATTTCTGGGTATTCCTTCCAATGCTGCACAAAACTCCAAAAAATAATATTTTACGCCCCATGTGAAGAAAAATATTCTCATTGCATCCAACCTTCTCAGCTCCAATAAACATTTGATTTGGGTTTGACACCAGTTGACGTGAGTACACCAAAATAACTAATGGTTCGTGAATCCGTAGAACCTTGCAACGTATCTTGCAAAGCTGGGGGCGATTTTGAGCTCTTTTTTATCGGCATCAAAGAAATCAAAGCAGCCATTTGCCTTCCCACATGCAATATAACTTCGAGAAAGATGATAAACCTACGAACTGTCAACTCTGTTATATCTCATCTGATTCTTCTCTCTACAGCCCCCATAAGATTATTAAACATAATTAGTCTTTAAATTTGAAAACACATAATGTATGGCCCATTAGCTCAGTTGGTTAGAGCGTCGTGCTAATAACGCGAAGGTCACAGGTTCGAGACCTGTATGGGCCAATGAACACTTTTGTTTGTCCAGGAACGTGGCCAAGTTTTGGCCTGAACTAATTCTGCCCCGCGGTTACTTCCGCCGCTCGACCCATCGAATGCTTTCGAGATTATAGCGTCGGCAGATCCTAGTTGTAACAGGGACAAATTAACTGAGTTCAGGTCTGAGGTCGATAATCAACATCTATTGTCAGGTGGCTTTGGACTTTCACAAAGTTAGATTAAAGTTGAAATACACAATAACTTCAAAGTTATTGCAAAGTTGAACTTCACGATAATCTGTTGCTGAATATAAAAAAATGGTACAATGACAATGAAAGTAGAACCTTTTAAAATAAATCATCAAATCTTCTTTTTAGACTAACATATGCTACATCAGATATAATAAGAATAATTCTTAATAGCATTAAAGCAGAATACTTGCTTAAAAAGATAAATATGAAAAACTTCATGTTAAATAAAATAAATCACAATACAAAGATCAATGAAAACTAATTTAAAAGTGTAAAGTTATGTAATCTTTATGCAAGATTTCATTTGGAAAAAATCATGGTTATTGCATCATTACGAAAAAAATTAATTATAAATTATCGATCATAATAACTTGTGTGACATTAAAATCTAAAAGTTGAACCTACTTGAAAATAAAATATAAATTTTGAAAATGAAAAATATCTATAATTATTCTTTCTTTATAGATATAGATCTTTCAAACACAAAGATAAATTTTAATTCCAAATTAGAATATGTACTAGAGAATCAATTTCCAACCTGAAGGAAATATGATCCATAAGTAATTTAGTGCAAACATTAATGAGTCTATTGTACAATCGGGGTATGTTTAGATGTAAGAAACCAAAAGAAACTCAGCCCAGGAAGCATTTGAACCTGCAGCACAGATCGATAACTTGCTGTCGCATCGAGCTACTGGACCATTCAAATGAGGAGACATGATGACTGACTAAAATTAGAAGCATACTTATGTAATGTTAAAAATGATGAATTTACACCAAAGTAAGGTATGTGCTCAAAACGAAGGACCAGAAGAGACACCGTATTACGGGACTGAATTTACAGTACATTCCTCTCTGTTCTCAGGAGAGACGCTAGGAGAATTGGGGACCACGCACCACTTGAACCAATAGCATAGATCCATATCTTCGAATCTAATGGGCCATTCATATGAAGACACAAGATTAGTGACTTAAAGATAGGAGCATTAGTTATGTAGTGTACAGTTGAAGAATCTGCACCACAGTCCGTTATGTGTTCATAACCAAAAACAAAACTTGTGAGGCTCAGGCAGGCAGGATTTGAGCCCGCGTAACAGATCCATGGCTTAGAAAGCTCACGCATTGAGCTACTGTGCCATTCACATGAAGAGACACGCCGACTGATTACAACTTGTAATTTGCAAGAAGATCAACTGATAAATTCACTGTATATCCGAGTATGTTCAGATGACTGAACAAAATACTTGCAGCCTGGGCAGGACTTGAACTCGCAGCACATATCCATAGCTTCGAAAGCTCTCGCATTGAGCTACTGGACCATTCATATGTAGAGGCATGCTGACTGTATAGAAGACAAAGCATATAACGGGACTAATGGAGTACAAACTTTTATAAATCCACTACACATTCGAGTATGTTAAGATGACATACGGAAAGATTTGCAAATACCAGGCTGGACTTGAACCCGCAGCAAATATCCATAGTTTGGGACGCTATCGCATTGACCTACTGCTCCCTTCACATGAACAGAAATCCTGACTGTCTACGAGAAGAAGCATATTCCTAGACTAATGGTGTGTAAATGTTGATGAATTTTCTGTAGATTCGATATGATTAGATGACACACCAAAAGACTACAGACCAGGCAGGACTTGAACCCGCAGCACAAATCCATGGATTGGACGGCTCTCGCATTGAACTACTGGACGCTTCATATGAAGGGACGTGCCCACTGATAACAAGAAGAAGCACACTCCTAAACTGAT